AATAGTAAAACCATAATAACAACCATTTGTGGGGCCCAGAGCCCTCACCCAAGAGGCCCTCTTGTTCAAGGGGCCCCCAGACACCCTCCATCGCTCCCTCCCTCCTTCATCTGCCCCTTCGGAGCCCCCTGGAGCTCCAGGCTGGGCACCTTACCAAGAAGCCCTGGCCTCGGACGAAGGGCATACTCCGATTCAGGCCGCGCTCCTCAGGCCCCCAAGAGTTATTGGTCTGCGTATTGCGGACCACGGCGTTCTCATCGAAACGGGGGTTCAGGTGGAAGGCGATGTCATTCCCGGAGCGCAGGTTGATGTGGAACCTGGGGGTGGGCAGCTGACATGGATCTCTGCCCACCGAGTGCTGGGCCCCGGCCCCTCCCAGCCTGCCCAGAGCTGGGGGTGGGGGGTGGGGAGAGCCAGAATGACCTTGGGGTACCTCTCCGCCCTGAGAGCCCAGGCTTACCTCTGAGCATAGGGCAGGACGATGCCTGTAATGGTGATGCTCTTGGAGGGGTACAGCCCCCCAGGGATGCTGGTGAAGAATGGTATTGGCTGTCGGGAGGAGAGGGGCAGGTCAGCCAGCGGCAGCCAGGGAGGCGACCGCTGTCAGGGGAGCTCTCTGCCAATGTCCATGAATTTGGACTGTCACCCAAGTTTGACAACTGTGTCTGTGCGTCATATATTTTCAAGAAAGAATCGTGATAGCCCTAGCTGGTTTGGCTCAGTGGATAGAGCCTCGGCCTGCGGACTGAAGGGTCCCAGGTCTGATTCCGGTCAAGGGCATATGCCCGGGTTGCAAGCTCAATCCCCAATAGAGGGCGTGCAGGAGGCAGCCAATCAATGATTCTCACCATGGATGTTTCTAACTCTCTCTCCCTCCCCCTTCCTCCCTCTGAAATCAATAAAAATATTTTTTTAAAAAATAAATAAATTTAACAACAACAACAAAAAGAATTGTGATAGCTTTACTTGGTTAGCAAATAAGGAAAACTTTCCAGTGTTCCTCAAATTTATGAGCTTAAACTGCCACGGAAAGTCCTAGCCGGTTTGGCTCAGTGGATAGAGCATCGGCCTGCGGACTGAAGGGTCCCAGGTTTGATTCCGGTCAAGGGCATGTACCTTGGTTGCAGGCTCCTCCCCAGCTTGGGCCCTGGTCAGGGCACGTGCAGGAGGCAACCAATCGATGTTTCTCTCATATCGATACTTCTCTCTGTCTTTCCCTCTCTCTTCCACTCTCTAAAAATCAGTGGAAAAATATCCTCGGGTGAGGATTAAAATTAAGTAAATAAATAAACTGCCGCGAAAAGAACTTTGCTGGACACAAAAGGATACTTGGGCTGAGAAGAAAAGGCCATATAATATGCTTGTGAAGAAGGGGCCCTTTTGAAGGTGAAAGCTCCTTTCAACCTTCTTCTAATTTCCCGGGATGTTTGAAGAACGTCAGCTCACCGAAGGGCTGCTTTTCACTTTGTGAGCTGCCCCTC